TTTATGTTAACTCATTCCTTATAGTTACGTTGCATGTTTAGATGCCGATAGCGTAATCTTCATAATATAATCAGTACCTACTCCCATTGTTTCAGTTTATTATCAACTGTATAGCAAGACAATTGCATTCTACTTACACTGAAATTAAGTAAATCTTAAATAAATCATCAGCATTAGAATGGTATGATTCCCATTCAGTGGTTTATACGAACAGGTATGTGTTTTGGACTGAAGGGTAAAGCATTAAAGCAACCAAAAACACAACTATAAATCCACAACTTTAAAAAAAAATCAATAGCTTGACAAACTATTATTGTTTGATCGCCATTAAAAAAATAAAATTTTAAAATATCATCTCTTTTTAAAAATGAGAAAAGATAAAAACTGTTTACACTGATTTTGGTGCAATAGCTACATTCTCCTTTCAGTTTTTTTTATTATCTTAGGAAACGACCATCTTCATCTGAAGACATCCTCTTTTGGTGTATGTTAATTAAATCTTGTAGCCACTTTGCATCAGGTGACCTGTCTCAACTCTCTCAACTCAAATGATAGAGCTATATATATCTGTTCTGGTCTATATAGGTCTGGTTGTATAGGTTTTATGGATGGACTCACCGTTCCATGGATTCACTGTGCGGGTGCCGGGTCCATCGCGTGATAGAAGGGGGTAACACATGCGACTTCGACAATGGGAATTGCGACCCAGGAATAGGTTTAGGGAGTACTCCTTGCGACGCGTCAGCGCCTACCTCCACTGTCTGCTGTGTTACTCCCTCTACCTAACCATATTTGATATGAGCCTAGCAATGCCGTTTAGAATATTCGTTCAAAAAAAAACATACTGAAGCTCTTGGCAATCCAAGGTCTTTAAGCAGGTCATAGAGGGATTTAGATTAGATTTCCACGGCATACCTACAACGCAACCATTTTTAGTTATTTCGTTGGTTTCGTTTAATACTTCATTAATACTCGTGAGTTTAATACGTGGTAGTGGTAGGTGATGTTTAATTGTATGGAGTATCCAGCATGCAGCCTAGTCCGAGCTCATCTAACAACACTCAATGGAATGGGAGCATATTCATAACACTGCCTATATCAAGGAGAGTGTTAGGTATAATTGTCCGGATTAATGCCGGACACCTTTCCGCCATCGTTCCACGAGGCAAACATTCATCCCCATCTCTTGAATAATTGGCATCACTATGCACTAGGGATGGAAAGAAATCACAATAAACATATAATTCACAAATAATATAACCACACCTGTGACTAAATTACAAAACCACGTTACGTTTAAATCTAATCTAATCTTTGCTTAAGTGCTTTGATTAATCACAGGTGAAATCGTAGTGACTAAAACTAATCGCTTCTTCAAGTGAGTATGATTTAAAAGTAGCAATAATTTCCATTATTATGCACATTGCAATCTTTGCACAATTCCAAACCTTTAAGAAAAGAACATACTCCAACGCATGTGACCCCTGAGTTGCAGGCATCCATAGGCGGCGATCACGCTTCGTCGAGTAACACATCTGCTTCCCCTATATCATAAAAAAAAGAAACATATTGTAGCTACAATATGCCAAACTGTAAATTTTCTTTATTTATAATTTATTTTAATAAGCTAATATTCCTTGTGTCTAAGATTTTGAGGCATCTTTAAGTGACCTTAAGGTAACCATATTTGTATTATTTTATAATTTATTTTAAAAAGAAGTTAGGGGTTTTCTTCTTTCGTGTTTAACTTTGTTAACACTTTACGCAAAAAAGTCACTGCTGTGAAAATTAACTTAATTCCAACCAAAAGTAGGTATCATTAAAATCAGGCAAGAAGTATCTGCAGTTTATATGCAACTCATAATTATCATTAACGGAGAAGTGAAATAAACCATCATTATAATTATAAGTGATTATATCAAAAGTGCGGGTATGTTTAATAAAAGAATAAACAATATCTGGGAGTCCCCCGGTGCAGGAAGTAGTCAGCTGCTTTAGTTGCACCGGGTTCTCTGAGCAGGTTACGGAACGGCACTTTGGCGGCGTAGGTGTCATTTACATTTTCAAGTTTACGATCATATACACGTTTATATAAATTAAAGGAAAACTTTACAACTCGAGATGCCAAAAAAGTATTTACGACCATGCGGGCTAAAGTACATAGCTACTTAAAATAAAAAAATAGGGTATTATTTATTCTTTTATGATTAGATTTAGCTTAAGCCATTGAAGTCAATCCTAAGATTTTATGTAAGTATATAGGCAAAATAAAAGTTTCTTTCTTGGGAGTGTCAATAACCTTGAATTTATAAATTAAGTGGTAATGTAACTACAAAAAACAACTTATCTAGATGTAAGGAAAACCATAAGAAAAATTTGCTCACTGGAATTTTTAATAATGTTGGTATGTAGTGAAATCAATAAAAAATACCTGTTAGTTGTCAATCTACAACATTAGGTGTTCATAATTTATAGTTTATTGACCCCTTTACCGTTTTTATACACAATAATAAATAGGATGGTACTTTATAGGGTTCCGTTTCTCAGAAGCAAAAGGAACCCTTATGAAATCACGTTGTCTGTCTGTCTGTCTGTCTGCATATCTTAGACATTATAAATCGCATTAATATTAGAAATTTTTTTTCAGATACTCGTGGCGATAATAAGTTGAAAAAAATTATCACATCAAATATTTAAGTTTGTGTACCTTCGAACTAAAACAATAATGCTTCAACACAAGTCGGCGGGAGCATTTTACTCATAAATACAATTCGGAGATTTATCAACATTCTTTTTACGAAGACTTTCTATTAAAATGGAATCATGAAATTTGGCAAAAAGCAGTCCCACGCAAAGTAGAGGCGAATAATTCAAAAGTCATCAATTAAAACTTTTTTACACAAATATTATTTTTTGCAATTACAACTTACAAGTACTTTGTCACATTTTACGAGGACAGGTCTTTCTTATAAACTAGCTGACCGGACTAGACGTTGTCAACAGGGGTAGATTAAGTATTAAAAGCGCCCTAGGCAAGCATCCCGCCCTATCCCGCCCTGCATCACTCTATCGCCAATACTATATTTTTAATAGCTACTAGTTGACGTTACTAAATATGTGCGGCGCTTGGGTGCCCAAGTCTTTCCCTCCAGTGGAAGAGTCCAGGAGGACCCGGTGGAGCTGGATTGCTGGTCCTCAATTTCTCATGTCTTAGGATTTCGATAACTCAGCATCTGGAGCTCATACTGAGTTGAAATCCTATCGAGGGCTTGATGTTGATGCGAGTGCCTCTGAGGACCATGAAAGAATAAGGCCTCAGATTTGTATAAAAATACCTCGAGCCCCAGGGAATCCTTATGGTGCGCCATACCCAAACTCACGAGCGTGTCGTCCGAAATTCCATTCGCGTGGAGATCTTCCTCTTAAGCCCTCTTCTCACAAGACAACGCCCTCGCAAAAGGATGCGACCGCAGCAGAACATGTCATCCTGCCCACTCGACCCTATAGAATTGTTTAAATTGTGTAAGTATATACATACTTACTGTCACATTGCTTTTTATGTTGGGCATTTTTTTTTCCCTTTTTGAAAAATCTGTTTGGCATATATTTGTAACCTCGCACCTCTAGGCACTTACTTTGCCTTAGACATCATTCGTCACTTCGTTTATGTTAATGCAATAATAATATAGTTCGTAGTTTCTGACCGGTTTGGTTTTAATAAGCGGAATCAAACAACGAATTGTCGTGTGTAAATATTTATTTTGTTTTAATTTTGTGGCATAATGTAGTGCTAGTCTTCCTTGGATTTTCCAATTTTCATTTTATTTTTTTCCCAGTAAACCGTCATCAGACTCTTATTAACATACAAAAAAGAATTAATTAAACTGATCCACTCGTTCTTAAATGATTCGCTTAGCAACGAACAACATTTAGTTTTTACATATAGGTACTGATAGACTGAACGTAGACGTCACGTCATCCTAATAAATAATCAACTTGACTTTCTTGTTAGTAACAACTAAAAATCAGTATTATAGGTACTTTTAGAATAATTCTATTGCAGATAGAAATTTAAGGCTGGTGAAAATAATAACTTGGGAAATATTACATAACACTATCTGGAAGCAAATTTATCAGAGCTTTTACTATAGCATGAGAATACGCCATACGGATTAACATCAATACATTTTTTTTTAGAAACCCACGTAGATACTTGATATACATAATACCTATGAGAAAAGATACATTCATGCATTCAATATTAAAACTCGGCGTAAGACGAACTTCGTGATTTTGGAGTTGGCATTCGGACCGTGGCATACCCATGCTTCGGCACATTTGGCTTGACTAGAATGATACCCGTAGTATTCTCACAGAAAACTGCTCTTAGGAAATTTTATCCTTATTCTGGGAGGAGGGGCACTCAAGCACACTTGTGACTATTGAGTTGCAGGTGCTCATGGGCGTTGGGAGTCACTTACCATCAGGTGACCCATTTGCTGTGACATAATATGGTCGTCATTTAATGAAGTACAATATTAATTTGTAAATATCTCCTTAGCACAGACTCGTGCAATAAGTAAATAAAAGGCTCGTTAGTCATTAGAGCACAACGGAATTTCGTTTATCTAATTTTAAAGATTTTATGAATTTAATAGGTTGTCCTTCAGCAAAATGTCGTATAATGTAAAGTTGAACATCGTCTTCTAAAATTCCTTGAAATTATTTGTACTGGCAATTATAATACTGAAATGGCAATCAAACAATATTTTGGTGACACACGTATTTTGTATCTGTGCAAAATCTTACTGATTTGACAAAACACAAGGTCACAACTACGATAAAAACATGTGGAATGTATAAAAAGAATAAGTCGTGACTCTCGTCCATAATATGATGGTTTAGTTTGAGCAGGTTCGGAGAACTTTGCACACATTTTATGTGTATGTGATACAAGTACTTAAGTTGGTATTGTTTACTTAGAAAAAAATAAAATAAAAATGATTGAGGGATACGGTGCTGTAACACAGGCACTTTTAGGGACCCTTCTGACGTGGGGGTTAACTGCTGCTGGAGCCGGTTGCGTATTTTTTATTAGAGGAAAACATGTAAGTTATTATTGGGCATATAGCAATTTTTCTTCCCACGTCGGTAATATTTTAAGTGATTTTCATAGTGATATTATATTATAGATTGTTTTTTTTTTTTGTTATAGAGGAAAGTTCTTGACGTGTCATTAGGCTTTGCCGCGGGAGTGATGACGGCGGCCTCATACTGGTCTCTTTTGGAACCAGCTATAAATATGTGTAAAGCATCTACAACATATGGATCAGAAGGACAATTTGCTTTTATACCAGTTGCATGTGGATTCTTGTTTGGTGCAGTGTTTGTTTACGGTACTGACAAGTTTTTGGACTATTTGGGCCTCAACTCTACCAACATGATGATGAGTAAGTTTGAAATACTATTTATTTTAATAATATTAAAAAAAATGCAAATAAAATTATTATTTTCAAAATTGAATCCAATTTAGACTGACAGTATATAATAAGTGATGAAAACATCTCCTCAATATAGATTACCAATCTTTAGAATTTACCAATTTAGAATTTACTAATTTACCAATCTTATAGAAAATTGGTAAATACAATAAAGCTTAACATACTTATACAATAAACTTAAATTGTTAGACAAAAGTACCTTATCAGACTATGCTTAAATTAAAAAACTACATAGTGATAAAAAATCAATTATAAATAATATTATACATTGCATTTCTGGTTAGTTCTTGCTCTTAGAAATAATATGAAGGTATGTAGTGTTCTGAATTTATGTGGTGATTGTAATAAAACATAAAATATAATAAATATAAAGGTACACATAATAAATAAATAAAGTAACAAGTGGCGGCATACAGAGTAGTGCTCAAATATCATAAATGTTATTTCTAAGATATTGACACTTTATGTTATTAATTGGTAAGGACTGGCCTATGTCCAGCAGTGGACTATTAGAGGCTGTTGATGATGTTAATAATTCAATTATATTGAAATAGAATAATGAAAGTACTGTTGACATGAAGAGAAATGTGTTTATTTATTAGATAATTATTTTTACTACTCAACTCTACTAATATTTACCTATCTATTATTAAACAATGTCTGTGTTGTGTGTGTACATTGGTTCATGTTTAGCAGCATTAAGCTCCGGTTACCTTGGTTTTCGGTTTCTATTTTAAGAATGAAAATTTAATAGAATATGAGATTCAAACCAGTATTATTTTTGATTATGCAAAATTAATTTTACTTAAGTATGTAGTAGAAACAAATTGTTGAAATTTATGGTTTTAGGTAATATAGTTGCAAAGCAAGTTTGCAGCAATAACATTATAGTATACTCATAAAACTTTGTACTGTTGCTGCATGACAATTGCAAAGTGCTGAATTTAAAAAGTTTTTTTAAAATAAAGTTTAAATAAGCATAGATTTAAATTTTTATTATATTAATTTTAAACAGCCAGTCTTAATATGTATGTACTTGAAGCAAATAAGACTGTACTATATCCAAAATTTAAGATATCTAGGAGGATTTATAAAAATTAAGAGTAATATGCTTTTAATACCAATTTGGCACAGTGAGTCACCAAAGAGTTTGTAATAGAAGTCAATTTCAAATGTTATCTTTTATCTTAATCAAGATATTATCTATACAATTTAAACAAATCTGTGAATTTTATTAAGGCAAGTAAATACAACCTACTTCACACATTTGCAGTCTATTGGGATCAGGCTTAAATTTAATTTAATATTCAAATAATTCTAACTAACTAAATCTAAACTATAGTAGTAGATAGTGCAGTAGTCATAGTGTTGCTATTTTCAAACTAGTCAAATCTATAATATTCATATTGTAGTGTAAAAAAACAAGCTTTTGAATGTAATACACAAAATACATTCCAAAACAAAATAACTACACCTTTCACATTAAATATTAGCAGGTATAACAAGTATGCTATGCAAATTAAAAAATTGTTATTTTGTTCTACACACTATATTTCCACAAGGTGTGTGCATAAGGAAATGTTTTAGGTATTGACAATATATTATTATTATTATCTGCTTATCCTGCGTATGCCTTCTAAATTTATACCCTAGCCATCTTTGTTTTGAGAGTTTTTTCTTATCTCAAAGTCTTAGCTACTTAATTTATTTATGATCTCTTGAAACATAGGCAGCTGTTATGGTCTCAAATAGGTTTAGTCAATTTATTGTATTGTATGTTAAATTATTACTCTAAATATATTGTAATGAATTAACTTAATTACTTGAATGTATACAAATGCGCTAAGCGCACAAGTGTTATATAATTAAGTTATATGTAAATAAAAGTAATAGCCTGAATGCATGCAATGTAACTCCTCAACACATTTTAGAAATGTTAAATGTCGTCTCCCATTTTAAATACTAATGATTGCAATTTTTATGAATTACAGCTATGACAAAAAATAAAGATTCAAAGGAGAAATTAGAAGACCTTGAAATGATGACTGCCTTAAATAGGCGACCGTCAAACCAAACAAGCATTGTGACGATGGATCCACAGCAACCGGCGGATTTTGCAGACTGCATTAACAACCAGCACACTGCACAGCGACGTAGGGGTCACTCACACCACTCTCTGGTTAATATCGGTTTAATATTTCAAATATACTTTATTGTAAATATGGAATTTATGTTCTTGTGTTCATGTGTGCTGCCAATGTGAAGGTGAACTCTGTTCAATATCAAATTTTTTTTTTTTTTTTTTTTTGATGAAGTAACCTATGTGTATGTAGGCGTGTTTAATGTTTACATGTAGGTGTTAGATACGTTAGACATTTATGGACGATATGGACAATTAAAAAAAATACGCCCATGAGTGAGCGAGGTGTTTCTGTTGCAGTGACAACAATATCTTTAAAATGAAAATAGACGATAATATCAAATCACAATACCTATTCTGTTATAAAATTAGTTATACGGATAAAATTAGGGACATTTGACAATAGCTAGAATGATCTTTCTACATGTACCTACGATATAGCTTAACAGCTGACTCACGTGAGCGATTATGTCTTTCACAAATCACATTTTGTTGCCAATATAAAACCTATATCCGAAAGTTCTTATTTATACTCTTAAATACTTTTATTATTTTTTATGTTACTAGAATGTCGTGGAAAAATAAATTAAGGTAACCGTAATGAGCGATGTCTTTTAGACGAAATTCCAATTTTGGAGACCGTGTACGGTACTGTATTTAAAACATTGGATTGATGTGACTGTATAACTGAATACTGTTAGTAAATATGAAAAAAAAAGCCATTGAAACAGGCATAAACGTATACGTACTTAAATCACACTTAACAGGAACAAAAAAAATGAGGAAGGAAACTGAGTATTAAAATTGCCGATATACGAAGACTGCAGATTGGCAAAACCAAGTTCACTTTTTACGTTAATTGACATTAATTAGATAGCTGATTTCTCCGTAGAAATCATTTGGTAATTGTTTTATCATAATAATAATCATTGTAGGTAATTATTTTATTTTGTAAACGATCTTATAAATTTTGTGCGGATTTGCTAGCTAATATTGCTTTGTCAACAAAAAAATTGCCTAGCTTTAAATAAAAGCTGTTATTTGTGTAACGCAGGCATTTTTACCATAATTATAGCAAACTATTTGTTCGCATCCGTCTAACCCTGCGTCACTAGCGATACTACACTGTACAAGATTGTAAACACGTTAATCGCAAATACCATCAAAAATCGACACCCAACTAGATCGGCGACAAGCGTTTTCAAGCACAACCCTACAACCACCGATATTTTATTACTGTTAACTGAAGAAGTTTCAGTTGATGTCTATTGGTTAGCCTTTTGTTATAAACTTCCTTGTACTTGTGCCTTCCATTGTTACCTAAATTCTCAATACAAAATACAGGGTTACTGGTTAAGTTGACCTAGATACTACAAGAGGTTATGGCGCTTTATGGTGCACCGGTGTGGGTGGCGGCTCTGACCGCCCCGAATAGGGCGCGCCTCTGGCGCCCCCAGATGATATTGGCGGTCAGAGCCATACGCGGATACCGCACGGTGTCCACCGAGGCGGCTTGCGCCTTGGCCGGAACACCCCCGTGGAATTTGGAGGCGGAAGTGCTCGCCGAAGTTTATCGGCGAGTGGCTGACTTCCGGGCGGAGAGCGGATTTCGCCCTCCGCCCAAAGACGTGCGCGAGTGGCGCGAAGCCGCTCGCCGAGCCACCATGGTCAGATGGTCGTTCCGGCTGGAGACTCCACGCGCTGGCTTCGCCGCCGTGGAGGCTCTCCAGCCGGTCATCGCCGAGTGGGCAGGACGGCAGCACGGGACCCTTTCCTTCCGGCTGACGCAGGTGCTTTCCGGGCACGGTTGCTCCGGAAAGTACCTGTACTCGGTCGCTAGGAGGGAATCGAGTCCCGCCTACCACCACTGCGACTGCAGTGAGGATTCGGCCCAGCACACGCTGGCGGTCTGCCCCGCATGGGCGACGCAGTGCCGGGCCCTCACTGCAGTCATCGGAGCAGATCTCTCGCTACCGGCCGTAATTCGCTCCATGGCCGGTAGTTTTACCGCGGTCGCAACCTTCTGCGAGGAGGTAATCTCGCAGAAGGAGGCGGCGGAGAAAGCCCGGGAGGACGACCTCCACTCGGACCTGATCCGCCGCCGGCGAACCGGGCGGAGGAGGTGCGCTCACCTGCGCCTCATGCCGCCCTGAGTGTGGCCGCGGGTGGACGGGATGGGTTCTCCCCTCCACCCGCATTAGTTGGCCAGCCGCGAGGGGGCGGCGTCCGCGTGTGCCGCGTGTGCCTAAAGAGAGGAAATATCTTGAGACGGAGCCCGCAACTGGAGCGGGCCGGCGCTGGGAGGGGTCCAGAAGGCGATAAATACCTGGACCCCTCCTAAACTGGAAGCGCAAAGAGGGCACACCGTGTGGTTTTAGTCGGTTCGAGTCCCACACACCGCCCCGCCGAACGAGAGCCCCGGCGGGGTGACGGTCCGAGGGGATTTCCACACGTAAAAAAAAAAAAACAAGATACTTCAAGAGGTTGTTTGCTCCCTTAGTTGGTTCTTACCCCGTTTTCCTCATGGACCAACTATGTACGCACAACTAGTTGTGCCATCCCAGAATAAGTTCTTAATGACACAACTATGCACAACTAAGCACGATTGATTTACTATAACCATTCCTTTTAGCACAACTACAGGAGGAAATAAATAAAATTATCACTAACCTCTTAAGAAATGATGATTATGTTGGCCACTTCTGTCATATCTTTGTATATTAACAAATAGAAAATTATAAATGCCATTTCATGTCATTTATTGTCAGTAATTATTTAAAAATATTGCTATATTATTTTCGTGCATACGCTGGCGTATATCCTGACTGTAAGCATTCTATGTCTACGCCAGAAGACGAAGAACTTATAACCATAACGATAAACCTTTGTACACCGATTGTAATTAATGTGTATCTAGGAACAAATATTAATTTTAAAAAAATATTCCTCATGACACAACTAGTTTTGCATACATAGTTAGTCCATGAGGAAACAACGGTTCTTACGACACCCACGAGATGAGTAGCTATGGTGATACTCCGTATTCTTAAACCGTCACTACACTGGCCGTAGATCGTGAATCTAGCTTCCTACGCTTTTTTACGATAAAATTATTTTTCTTTTTTCTACAAAAGCGTTGTTTTTTATTTTTTTAAAGTAATTTATTCTTTAGTCATTAATGCTGATTTTTATCTTATTAAGACTAAAAAAGTACCAAGTAAGTTTATCACATATGCTTCAGCACACGCCTTAGTACGTGGCAAAAGACACTACCGTATTTTGAGGTATTGAAAAAGCCGTTAATCCCGAAGGACCTGATCAGGATAATAAGACAAACTATTCAAATTATTGCATTGTCGGTCCTTGACAAACGTGTTAAGTAGGTAAGTTCAATTTAATTCGACGTTTTGAAGTGGATCAAAATCACGTTTCTAAGATTCCGTAACATACATAGATACATACGCACATGCGCAGCTAATAAAAGCGTGTTAACAAAAGGAAACGTTTATTAAAAAAAAAAATCTTTTTGTGACGCAGAGTCGGCAGATTATCCAAGTTGCAAAATAATACCGTGTGTAGCAGTCTTAAGAAAAATAACGCGTGCAGCCAGACTTTCACGTCACTACCGGCGGACAGCGACATACTAGCTGATTGGTTGATCGTGGCCCCGCGTCCCGCAAATCATCGGGAGTACCAAGCCGGCGGTTTGAATATAATTGGTAATACAGCTTTGATCAAATTTGGACTCATCTGTCCATGAAATATGGGTCAGCAATAAAATACGGCTCTAATAAAGAGATTATTTACAAATCTGCAGAAATCCAACCTCTTCAAAGCGGCGTATAGTGATATAGGTATAGGCCCGCAATATTCACAGCACAGTACTTTCCTCTGTTCTCACAGTCTTAGTTCTAGAGCAACAATATTGATTGAAGTTGTTGGATCCAATCTAAATCGTTGAACTATCTCGTTGTCTTCTTCATCACATCATCAGTGAGACGTGATCTACCCAGATCAGATAGTCGCCTTGAAACAGAGCCGAACACTCTAGATAGTCGTCGATAGGCTCTGCTCAACACAATAACATTAGGCACTCGAGGGCCGGGATAGCGTGCTATGTATTCATCCACGAGCCCGTGTGAATACACATTGGCAGTATCCGTAAGAAATTAGCATAAGAACATAATCCTCGTTGGTATAGGTAATCATCTTCAACAGTATCATAAGCACAAATCAAAATCCAGTTAGCAATTGTTAGTCACGAATAGAAAACGAAACAGTCCAATAATACAAGCCAAGCTTTCAACTAGGTACTACCGGGTTGTACGTTAATTCTTCGAAGTCTGACCTAGACTATTATACTTTATTAGATAGATGACAATACGTACAAGTTTTTTAACAAATTTGCAGCTTAACTGTCATAGATATTTTTAAATATTCATCAAAGATAAAAAATATATATTTCTTTTTGCTCTATACTTCGGCCCAGTTTGTTAAGTTAACTACAATTTTAGTGACGGAAATAATAAAACAACGTATCAATTACACAAAAACTATAAAAAAGAAAAATTAAAAGTTAAAAGTAATAAAAAAAAGGCAAAATATCGGTTTTTATAAAAAATCTTAAAAGGCCAATATCTTGAAAATTTTACGGTTTGGGATATGGTATTTCATAGCGAAATCTATCAGAAATGATGGCAACTACAACCCCTTAAGGTCGACTTAGCCACTAACCCTGTATACTTTCAACATTGCCATCTGTATTCCTAAAATGCCTGATTGACGACCATAGGCTTGCTTATATTAAGAGTAGATAAACAATTATACACAAATGTGATTATTGAAACACGCCTACACGCTACATCTTTGGTGATCTAGCCATTAATGTTTTTTTGCTAAAGTTATGAATGAATTGGCACATGTGATAATTTGAAGATAGACATCGTGTGTGATAATTTTAGAACATTTACTAATAGTATGGTAATTGTCTATTAATGTTGAGAAGAAATGGTATTTAATAATAAATAATGCTTAAGAAAGGATGTGTAGTGTAAAACTGTGCGCGCGATTGTGAATGCAAGAGTGTTTCAAAGGGCGTGTGAGCGTGTGTACATACGCGCGCGCGTGTGTGTGTGTGTGTGTGCGTGCGTGTGCGCGTGTGTGGGCGCGCGCGCGTGTTTGTTTGCGTGTTTGTGTATATGTGCCTAGTGTGTGTGTCTGTAGTGTACACCATGAAAATATTAGGTCACTTTAATGAACAAACGTTTTGTCTTTCATGTATGGTGTTTTAAGGTACCAAGTAATTATATATTATCATAGTAGTAAGTAAGCTACAGTAGTAGTAATAGTCATCATCAACAGCCCTTAGTAGTTCACTCTCCTAAGTAGTCCTCTAGAAAATAGGTTTTGGCCTACTATAGCACGATGGCCGGACGGGTTGGTATAGGGTTAGTTTCAAATTTGCCTTCTATTTGCAGTGCTTATTAGACTACGAGTATAAACAACAACACCAGAAAAGACTCTTTGCGAACTTTACAAAAACCTTCAAAGTTATTTTTATTGAATTCTCATAAACAGGTATATGACTAATTTCACACACGGGGGGGGGGGGGGTCGTCTACTCGTCTGTAGATGGCCCGAGGTATGTCGGGGCACCAGGGACTTCCTTTCTAGGGTATACCTGGTTTCCCGGCTATTAGTACCCGATACGGCGTGCGGTTTTAGTCGGTTTGTGTCCGACATGCCACCGATAGGTGGTATCCGAGGGGATTAAAAGGGGGAAAAAAATATATATGGCTAATGAGTTATGTGTTTAAATTTCAGAAAGTCGGTGAGAACGGCGAAGGCGATCGTCGTGATGGTATTGTAAAACAATTGGAAGCGCGGCAATCGCAATGGAAGCGAATTATGCTTCTAGTGGTAGCGATCACTGTACACAATATACCGGAAGGTCTCGCTGTCGGCGTGTCGTTTGGCGCCGCTGGTTCATCAGAACATTCATCCTTCCACACGGCCAGGTAAGTCTGTTTTGACTGCGTATTTAAGACTGCGTGATATTTATAAAAACTATGGAATTCAATTTAGAACTATACGTATCTAAAATAAGCGTTACATATTTGTTGGGATGTGAAAAAAATCGTATACAGCTCCATCTATGCACAGCCTTCTGTATTAATACGTGCAATATGGATCTTACAAAAAATGAGGACCATCTGCCATCTAGCGGGATCTATGTTCACTAGTATAGCATTACTCGTTAATCATATACTAAATTCTTAGATCACAGCACATAGATGGCGCTAGTAGGCGCGAAAAATAAAACAATTTTTGTTTATTTTCGTAGTTTTCCATATTCTCAATTAATTGACGAAATGTAGTTTACTCTGTTAAGACATTCTAATGTATAGATACGAGAATATTGCATATATAAATGTATATATATATATGTATGTGTATTGCATATATTGAATGTAAATAAGACCCTTTGTTTTTAGGTGCGTACCTACACGCACGACCAATTCTTAAAAATCTATTGTTTTGTAACTGTTGTTCAAAACGTAATTTCGTAGTCATGACAGTTCAAATTCGGCTTTCTTAGGAATTATGTTTATTTAATCGCGTGTTTCGTAAGCATTGTTAACTCTAATAGCAAATTGACAACAATTTCTAAAATAGTTTAGTACCTACTTAAATATATTATCCGCCATTTTGTTACGTCAGAAGAAGAAACACGAGGCACCGTTGTTTCGACGACTGCGCAGGCATTTCATTGATAACTTGCGGGCGCGAGTGGGATGCAGCTAGCCGTCAAAGGCTGCACTATGGCTTGTGCATCCGACCGCTAAACGTGCTTAACAATAGAGCGAGCGTCAACTTGACTCTAATTTATATTGATATTAAACATTCAGTATGCAGACGGGTGCTTATATTAGTCATGCTTGTCACCGATTCGTTTTTAGTTTTCTAGAACTATAAATATACGCATAATTTCTTTAAAGATTAACACCACCGAGAATTGTCTCGTTTCGTCTCATCGAATGTTTGGCATGAGCCGTCATACGCCTACTTGCCTTTTGGCATCAGTATCGCGGTATAGATTAGAGTTCATTTTGCTAATTCACTGAGGCGTTGAGTCTTTGTTACTGTTATCGGCGAAACTGTTGTTGTAAATTATTGTGATATATTTAGAAATGTGAAGTTTAGGTAATTTTTTATTAAGGACCTATTTACAAAACAAGGACACGGTGAAACGATCATAGATTACGACATGAACAGTAGATATTACGGCGCTCGTTAACCAACATAAGTGCTTTGGAGCGCAGAAAAGAATCGCAAAGCGACTGTATTGGTAACGACTTTTCATTTGTAGTTACGTCGAGTTGAGCCAAATCGCGTGGTCGCGGGGGCATCGACCGGCGGCGGCGCAGACGTTGCCGTCACCGCCGCCGCCAAAACCGCCCGATGAAACTATTTCACTGAAAAATCCGGCGCGCGCCGTATCATTGAAGTCAACCTTGGCGATTTGTCGCGTCGTCTATACTGACGCGTGGGTGCTTCTCAAACGTATTCATAAGTGTTCAATATTGGCAGCTCTCACTAAAGTACGTCGACAACTTGTCGATTCTTCTAATAATTTCAACTATTCCCATTTGTTACAGTCTTGTCGAATGATTTAGAATATCACTGTTACTATTACGATAGTTGCTGCTATCTCAGTCAGTTATAAAAAAAATATCGTAAGTATTTTATAATTATGAGTATTTTATATTAATATTCTATAAAAGTTATGGATTTCATCATAGCCTCGCAGTCCACTGCTGGACATAGGCCTCTCCAATTGCACGCCACTTAGATCGATTTTGGGCTTAAAGAAATAAAATCGTAAGTGGCACAAAATGTATTTATTTTTAAGCTACGAACTGTAACTACATTTATTATAATTCTTAGATGTATGTGTAGATATAGTTTAGGATTTAAACTTTAAAATATTTATTACTTTTTTAATATTGCCAACTGAATCAATTGACTTTGTGTACCTTCGTACCTACTTATAAATAACGCGACTGGTGAATGTCCATAAAAAGAAACACAAAAAAATCAGGTACTTAGACGGCTCTAACTGTAGATAGGGTCACCATTCAACATTTGAAGTACTTAGGATATGTATTTAAAACGTTTACACAACGGCTTAAAGGGGAATGCCCACCACCCATAGACACTTCGGTCCTAGGTGCGCACATATAAAATAATATGGAAATGATAATATACATTTTAAAGAATGAAATGGTTAAGGAATTGGTATTTGAAAAAGTCCGGATTTTCAAGATATATATAATGATTTTAATTTTCAGAAATACCTACAGTTTTATAGCAATATTTTTTTCTTATTCATTCATTCTTATTTATTTTATTGTACACACATTCAATATAAATTTTTGTAAAGTTCTGTTAGTTATTTTTGGATCTCATACATCATTTGTATCATACACAATCAGTACATCATCCAGGAATTGAGCCGTCGGGAAAATATCAGTCTGATATCGTGCCCAACCCAAATACCATATTACTGTCACAATACGGGTATAGCATCCTACCGTTCGACGGCCAATAATACAATTACAACAATACTTTTTGTTGCACTTATGCCAGAATTATTGCCACTAATTAAAATATATTTTTCGACCGATGTGTCGACTTCTAGCTCTTAGTAATGAGCAATTAGGACTAAGGAGTATTCCTTCCTAATGTTAATAATGCCTTAATAATGCTGCTCCTGTGGTCATTACATATTTCTATCTGGTAGCAACCATTAAGTCATATGCTCACCATAATACGAGCGAGCTTGCTTTAAATTGTATGTACCACAAGCAATTAGTACTACGAGTAAGTCGCTGTAAGTTAAAATAGTAAGTTAAAATTCCCTAACATTTTCAGAGCCTACCAATTTGTGCTGCACTAAATGTTTTAATTGGATTATAAATTGATCCTAAAAGTAAATCCCCAGAGTTACTATATACATAGTAGTTACAGATTTTACATTCTGTAGGAGCATAATAATTGAACTCACAAAAAGCTCGCAATACTGATGGAACAGTGAGTCGATTGAAAAACATATTGATTTTGTGTGGTTGGTGCTCTTACATAATAAGGCCGTAGTATACTGTCTGAGGTATCTAAGCTTTGTTGTTCCGGATGCAATACATAGCTACTTCAGATTGCAATGAGGACTGACTAGATGGCTCGGAGGTTTCCCGGTCTGCAGTTGAATGTGATGCTGCTCTATTAGTCCTTCGTCAGCAATTATGACACACACGAGATGATGATGGCAACTGAAACAATAGTTAAACCATAAATGAAGGCCCAGTAAACAAAATCAAATTAAACTAGATAAATGGTTGGAAAAATACAATCCACTGGACTGAACATCTATGTTAACATAAAAAAACTTTTACACCATATACTTTTATTCCAGTGCAGTGATGTGGACATACCAGCTAGTTTGCTGCTTAATCCATAATCTATACTTTATATTAAATGTGAAAGTGAGATTGTTTGTTTGTTACGCTATCACACAATTCTTTCACCAATGGAAAGTTATATTAACAGCGAATAACATAGGCTACATTTTACACACATAAATTAAAAACTGTTGAACATTTACCTCAGGTGGTGCAATCTGTTGCACAATCACATTCCTTATAAGTTCCTCACGTGGAGAATCAGATCAGAGTAAGTGTGATCTTATTCTCAAAAGTGACCTGCCACAGCTGGTGCACACAAGTCCATGACCAACAATCCAATCGGTGCATTGTGCTGTTCACTAGTGGGATGTCGTATTTCATTCCAGGCTGCAGTCCAACACGAGTGGCACACTATATTGTCACTCGAAACTTGTACCTAGTAAAAAAACAGCCATAATTATTTGGTATTGATATCATTTTAAATAATTCCAGTTAAAACATTTCTAAGAGGAAGAAATGACATGGATTACCTATTTACCTGCTGTGGTCGAACCCATTGTTGTATTAGATTTCGAACTTCTTCAATTTCCAATAAATGTCTTCGCATTTGCGTGACATTTATACCACAATTGACACAGCGTAAATGTCCTCTTGAAAGAGTTACTGTGCGCTGTAAAGAACTCTGGCCGGTGTGAAAGCTGGTGTCATCATTTTCAATGGACATCGAATCCAAGTTCGTTATCGTGAGAAGTGGGAGCGGGATCCATGTTCAGGCCGTGATCACTAGGGTAAGAAAAATTGACGGAGTGAACTCCGTCAATTTTTCTTACCCTAGTAGCTTTAGAAAGCCCTTTAGAAAGCTTATTAGTTGTATTGTAAGATAACCATCAAATAATAGAAATGCAAACCAAGTTGTGATTACACGTAATGGTGACAGATTGTGCCCTTGCATGTGCCTTGTTTTAATACATTCGATGTTGCCACTTACCAAATATAAAATCGAAAATCGATATCGATTATTTGTAAAATATAATTTAATATGAAATAATAATCTACGAGGCGCCTTTAAATTCTGTACGCTTTTTAGAATATATTTCCTTTTAGTTTTTTTAATTATATCTTTAATGTATTTTATTATATCTTAAAAGTATTTTCAAGAACAGATAAGAATGACAGTAAAATTGTACAGTAGCGTTTTTGCTATGATTTAAAGAGTTTACGGTAATTCAACTAGCAATTCGCTCATATTATTATCGTAACATCATAATAATAACCGAAATAACGAATAATATTACCACTAAAATAATGACATCATAAAAAAACACGATTTTTTTAACAAAATTAGTAATTGGGTCACCTTATATTTTTCCAGAAACCAATGAATTACGGATTAACGTAATTTCACTCTTATCTTTTCGGTACTTTTTTTTCTGCTTAAATGGTGAGACTTACTAGGATAAATGAATATCCCAATTAATATACTACTATATTATACTACTCGATTGTGGATTACATGGAAGACAAGAATGCTTGGGATTAATTAGCGCAGGCTATTTCTTTCTTAAGTAAAAATGTGGTGTGGCTAGTATGTTTTTTACTATTATTATTTTTTCTATTTTTTATGTTTCACTTCATTTTCTCTTGTATTCGTTTGTTCTTCTTAATCTTGTTTTCTCTTCGTTGTTTTTTCACCTTTAAGTCCTTAATAACGGACATACTAGCACACATCAAAACAATGTTGTGATATATTTAATAGTGCCATTGTATCTACTTGTGAATTGCAAAAGAGTGTCCATGAGTTTGTTTGCCCTTTCTTCTCATAAGGCTCAACCCCTTGGAAACGGGCGGTTGTAGATCGGCACAGGCATATCATAGATTTTGTATGGGTTTGATTTTTGTTAAATTTATTTGGTTACTATTTGACAAAACAGAGATTTTTGCTTTTGTGTGTGTTGATCTATGACTTTAGAGTCTACATGGAAGACGATTTCAAACAATTTTGGAAATTTTATGAAATAAAGAAAGTTTGAGTTTGAGTTTGAATAAACAGAAAACAAGATGATTTTTTCTAACAAAAGCATATTGTTGCGCGTTTCCAATGGCCAAAAATGGCAATAACACCTATTATGTATAGGTGTATGTTATGGAATTCCAGAAATATTAACCCTTGAAGTAGAATAACCGGTATTAGGCCGGGTATACACCTTTGTAAACTCTCCGCTTACTGACAGTTACACTTGCTGTCATAATAAGTGCTCCCTAATTTATTTATAGTATTAAATAATTTTGATACAAAACAATAACTAAAGAAAACAAAAAATACTGAAAATCTTGTTGTGGTTGACACAAATTGTTGTCGATTCAAAAAGTCTGTGAGTGATGAAAATCGCTAACAAAAGCAAAAAAAAAAAACCATTTTGAAACTGAGAAATTGATAAATAAATCTCATATTTCCCTAAAAACAGCAAAGTAGGGACTTTTAATATCGAGAATGTAGATTTATATAATTTTGCGACTATTATATTTATTTCTAGATTCATCAATTGCTTTTGCGACTCTTCGTAATGTTTTTCAAATATGATCACACCTTTCTGTAAACACCTTGTAGGGAAAACTCTGAGTTTTTATTATCTGTTATCTAGGGATGACTATAAAGAGCCAGGATCGAATCTTTTAACTTCTTTTTATGTAATTACTGGCTGCTAAGAAAATGACAAAAAAAAACTTCGTCATTCGTTAAAAATTTTTCTTCCGTTAAGCGATTCATGCCATCATTTTGAATAAATTTTGGATAACGCAGTGTACCCTGGTAGCACCACTATAACGTTAACAATATAGTAACCAAATGCACATTTTTATTATTGGATGACAATAAATTTATTATTCATTAATTATATGAAGTTTACAACAACTATCGACGGCCAATGACTTACCAATAAAAATAATTTATTGTTGAGTCACACATTCCTAGCTATTATTTAGGTAGTTTTTTAAAGACAACAACATCCTCTGTTAACCCTACTGAATGTCTTGAAATCATTATCCCGAAACTGATTTCGATATTGCGATCCTACTCGTGCGAGAGTAGGTTCGGCTTTCTGTTGGTAGTTTGAAACGGGTCGACCGCCGACCGCTGCGGGTAATAGCAGGTAACGAGACTGACGAGATACTACTCACTGATTCTTTTGTTCCGTTTGTTATGCAGATCGCCTTCCCGCTTATTACATTAATAATTGTACCTTCCTTAACAACCCCAACTTTTGTTTAATTAGTTTCGCTGTAGTAATATTCTTAATACTTCATGCATTTCATAAAACGATAATAGCTCTCAATCGTAAGGGACAGATAGTATATAGTCGCTTACAAAACCTAATAACTAAAATTAATAATCGACATAACAGAAGTCAGATACAATACTACCTTTTTACATTATGTGAAAGTCAGGTTGTAAGAAGCAATGCGTTTGAAGTGTTATAGTCATATTTAAATAAGATTAGAAATTTGCACAAATAAGATGGTTCCTCTGTGTATAATATCTTTTTAACGGACTTCAAAAAAGGAGGAGGTTCTCAATTCGTCGGAATCTTTTTTTTTATGTATGTTCAATCGGTGAACATACATAAAAATAAAGATTCGAAGACGCCTGAACCGATTTGGAGAGATCGAGCGGTTTTTTGAAAAATCAATAAAAATCTAAACATTGCATACATCGATGATATTTTTGTTTACTACGAAAACTCGCTGTCTCATTGGAGCAGTGAGATTAGTTGGCCTATTCATCTATACTAATATTATTTAATTTTTAGTGCTCTTTGTTAGTATTGATAGATATAGATAGAGTCTCAATTTTTTTTTTAAAAGGATTTGTAATTATTGAGTATTTATTTTTATTTAATAATAAATAATGATGCGCCCCTCTGACTTATGTTTTTGTCTTTATTAGTGGTATAAAACTTGTTGGCAAATTCTATTCTTGTGTAGCAACCATGCGGTGGTAAGCTTAAACAAGATATTCACGAGTTCTACTTTCATTGTGCCCGTAAGTTCTATGTTTGTCAAATGTCACTTGCATTAATTTATTCTTTTACTCGTGAAACAGTTTGATTCTAAAATATGTAGTTATAATTACAAAAAGAAAATCACTCGTATAAAATCTGTAATAAATATTAATTCAACAATAAGGCTTTTCCGAAGAATCCTCCCGCGAAATCGTGAGAGTAAAATTTTATAGCACTGTTTAAGTATATGTACTTATTTTATTCCTTATAATAATTAAAATTAACAGCGAAAATATAGTGATTCATCCAATACATGCGAAAAGCCTAACAATGCGTAACCTCGTGCGATGGTAACACAGCCACAAACAAGTAACAGGGATTCTTTGTTCCTTTGTGTGACACCTAGTACATACCTAGTTAGTTACTAAACCAACAAAGTAGCACAGTACCAACTCATCTTGGCATAGATTAGAAAACATGGGGTTTTAAAGTATTTGCAAAAAAGTTTGGTAAATATTTTAGTGTGAACAGTTTTAGTCAAAATTGATTGGACATGCAAATATAATCTAATATTGAAACTAATTAAAATTACAGCTCGAATATCCGTGCATTTATCGAGTTTTGGTAATCTGAACAGGGCTTGCAGCGTTCAAGTTATTTACTTAAAGTCCATATGAAGACGTGAAGAGATTTCTTTTTATCACTTTTTAATCGAATTTTGCCCATTTATGTAAAAGAAGATTACAAAGCTACAATCTTTAAACAATATGTGTTATTAATTTAAAAATTATGCGAAAACTGCTACAATAGCTACGCAGGTGTAGTAAATATGTTGACCTGTCATGGCACGGAAAGACTATATTGGCAGTTCATCTTATACTGGCAATTAATAGATTGATACATGGGCCTCATGGCTCAAAAAAATTAAGAAATAAAACAAAAAAAAAGTTGAATTATCGTTCGAACTTAACCACCAAACATTAACTAAATTACACAAGTTATAATAATTCATTTAGTCTTCAAGACAAGACATCAAGACTTTATCTATTGTTTTACTTTTAGAAGTGCGTTTTTAATAATTAAATTAAACCTAATAGTAATGTTAACTGCTATTCCTCATGTGCTATCGTCTTCGTACATTTTTCCTTGTGAACACAACTCGTACTTGACCAGTTTTGTTACAAATTAAACGTTATTCATCACTTGAAATTTTTCATAAATATGAGTTGAAGCTCTGGTACGGTCGTTCGTTACGATGGTAAGCGATAAGGCGGTCGATTTAACACCGTAGTCGGTGTTGGGTGCGGGTAAACACGTATAGGTATTCGGGCGTGGTGCGTCTGCCCGGAGGAGCGGACGAAGACGCGGGCGAGCGCGCGGGGGCGGGTGGCGCCCTCGCATAATGGGAGTCGGCAACGGCTTTGTACCCGCCGCTGTTATTATGCAGATTAACACCGCCGGGAATTTGTTCAAATATCGTAACAAGCGCTCTTCCCGGCGCCGGCGCCGCTCGAGCTGCTGTAATTTACGATTCGAGCCTCGGGAATGTGTCGGCGTTCGCTTCTTCGGACGCACACGTATTCTATTCATTTTATAAAACCCTCTTCTGGTCGGAAAATTACTGAACCCGCATCATATTTATTTACGATTATTTTCTATAATTGCCAATTAACGTATTTTAATAATATTAATAACAAAGTTATAAAATGGGCTTCTGATTCAATGAAAACATTCAATAGAAGCATAATCTTGAAATCTCTTTTACTACAATAATATTTTTGATTCCATAGTTAATTTAATCATAATCAGCAATTACAAATGTTTTTATATCTTATTTAGATTATTTAAAACTTGATAAGCCGTAAGTAGCGGCAATTACCTGGAACATTAATGTTTTTTAATTGCATATCAGCCTATTAAGCAATGGGAAATAGTATTGGAACTTCTGCGCTGACTGCCGAGTTTAAAAATAGTGCCGAGTACGTACATCAACGTTTACTTATCTTTTGTCTTTTGTAACTACAATCAACTAAGCACATATTAAATGAAATGAATAACAAATGCAAATACTTATTGTAAGAATGAAAATACTTGAAAAGTTGTGATGAAAGTTTACGAAGTCCATAAATAATGTTAGTCGCGGCGGCCAGGCATGCGAGGGTGCTGCGTGGTGGGGCGGGGGCGTGCGCCCGGCCGCATTCCTGAGAAGCCTCCGACCCACCGCTACACTGCCCAGTCACAGCTTCTGCCGCTTTATATCTAAATTCTTGCACACTGCGTACTTTTACCTCATGGACAAATAGCGAAATAACATTTTTGTTTTCATTTGTTGTGTGTTTGGAACATTGCATTCCTTCTTCTATACTCTGAGTCATAAAGCAATTTTATATATTTGATAATTTTAAATTATACTAACTATATTTAATGATCATCAAAGCAGGTTTCAGCAAATATAATAAGTATATATAAATATAATAATGACCTAATGCTGACACGTTAATTAAAGGTTATTTAAGTCTTATTCAAATATTATTTTAAAAAAGTCATAAACTAATTTCAAAAATAAGCTTAACATATGAAATTTGATAATATTGTAAACTAGACATGCAAATATGAATGAAAAATATAATTGGCCAAATCGCAATTATATGGTTTACATTACTTAATGACAAGTAGTCATTACAATTTTAGCTAGTCACAAAAAGTTCAAAAACTCCAAATACAAAATTGATAGAGCAGTCGTTCCTATACACATTCGTTGCATATTTCGTAAAATATACATTAATATGCTGTGATCGTGATCAGTACTGATAATGACAGGTCGTCATGTGTCCGTTTCGGTGAAATGTGCGATGGCAGCAGGGCCGGAATGGTTGAGAACGTTGCACTTGTTTTACGCACGCGCGCACAGTGTGGTGCATGACCCCATTGGAATGTACCACGTGCACTAGCCAAAGGAATGCGCAACTGTTTGCTTTTTTTTTCTTTGCCGCCACAAACAATACCTTTTCATACTATTTCAATCCGAATTCTTTACTAACTCGATACCTACTTTCTAAAACACTGTTTGCTTCTGCGGAGTGACATGATTTGTTTTATTTGAAAAGATTTTGTGGTAACCGAGTGGTTGTGGTTTCAATAATGTTAAAATTCCAAAATGTTTAGAAAATTTAGGTTTAGCAACTCTTTTAAGTACTTTTTCAATCTTTAACTTGACTAGAAGAGCCGACAGACGTCGTGTTCGGAATTTTGTTGTTATTATTTTTTTCGACAATTAAACAAACATGCCAGAATTCAAACACTAAAACAAAAAAATAACAAAATTTTGTCCAAAAGGTAGTTAGTTCTGGAAACCTATTGCAGAGCCACGTACGGGGCTAAGTGTGAATTTAATCCCTCCCGAAACCCACTCATTCAAATAAATCTGCCTATTGCACTCCACTGCTTGAGGTACACCTCTTCCAATGTGCGCCAGAGGGCCTGGTCTTCCGTCTTTGACATATATTCCATTCTAGCTACCTTTCTATTTTAGGTCGTCTTTCCATTAGGCTGAGGTGCGACCTACCTTCCGTTATTCTTTTCGCTTTCCGTAAAATGACTGCTGTCTCTGTTTTAGTCGTTTTCGCATAGCTTTAAATGTCATAACACATTGAATAACAATTTCAGCTTCTACTTCTTTTATGTGTAAACACACACATTTCAGATTAAGTGTGCGAAATTTTGGTAAGGTAAGTTAAGGAGTGTAGAAGTAGTATGAATAATTATATACATATATAAATAAGCAACGCCAGCAAATTATCTACTCGCTACAATCCCTGAAATATGAAATGAAAGTTTTTTCTGTAATTAAGTTTTATTTACTTTCAAACTTATGGTTAGAGAATAACTGAGAATACCAAAGTAACCATTATCAGAATGCCTGGGCGTAGGTATAAAATTAGTTAAATTAAAATTAGTCAACAATTTACACAGATATCTATGTATAAAAGGTAAAATGTAAGACCGACAAAGCCTATTTTGTAAACAAATAACAACTCTTGGCATTTTCCTCGTTACATTACCCTTGGAAGATAGTTATTTGACTAAAATAGAAGAGTTGAGTAAACGGCGCCCTCAATATTGAAGTGTACGATATGAGGCGGAAGCGTGCGTGCTAGATGTCGGAAAGCGCTTAGCCGGAAGATGCGCTCCCACCAATGATGAGCTTTTACGATTTCCTGTGCGCCCGCCGCCGGACACTTAGTTCCTGATCTAAAACCGCTTATTCTTTCATAACCGTTATGCTATTTAATAAGATTAAGAATGTATGTACTAGGTTAGTTGTACGCTTTTTGGACGTTATTATAAAATAATCACAACTTACATGAACTAGCTTCAGATTCTTACATGGCATTGGTTAATGCGTAGTCAATTAGTGGATGTTGTGCGGGCGCCGAATACGTCACGCACGCATGTGCATGCGTACATACAGCTCGCACCCGCGTCACACGCCAATCTAATTGCCTATTTAACACACCAATAACAAACAATTTGTACTATTGCAGTTCAGGGATGACGTTAGCAAACAATTATCTTATTGTTATACCTTCAACTGATTGTGCCCCACGGTTTGACTTGTTTTTAAAATTATGTTTATAAATATATTTCTAGCGTCGATTGGCATCCTTGCTAACAGTTTACGTTTGTCTCCTATAGGGTAAATTAGAAAATATATTGTAATATGCCTTTATAAATGTGCTTTCTACTGCGAAAAAGCTTTTGTAAGTTTTACTTTAAGTGATTTTAGCTGCACGATGAATTAACAAACTTGTTTGGTTGAAAAAAGTATACATTTTTAATCAATTATGTGAGTGTTATTCAACTGCACCACATACTTTTATTTGTACTTTATTTCGATATCGAAACAGTGAATTCAATAAGTGGGTTGCACTAGTAAACAGGAAAATCCGTAACTATTTTTATAACGTGAATAAGTAATTATTTAGTGCAGATAGGTTATCCGTGAGTCATTATTGTTTACCAACCGGGACCGGTTTGCGTTGCATGTGCACAACTTTGCCAAGTATGGCATGAATAAGTTGGGCGTTAATTCATACTTATTTGTGAGTAAATCCATCTATACATTCCGAAATGATGTCGCATCGGCCATGTTTGGGTAGGTATATCTAAGAGTGACTCATTTTCACAATTACCTGTAACACCTATCTTGCCATGGTGTTTTAAGATACATAAGTAGTAGACTACTTCAGTTCTTACTATAAGTTTGATTTAACACAAAACCCTTTTCACTGAATTGCCTTAAGTTTAGTTAAATGCTACTGTTTAGTAAAATTCCTGTTTAAAGTTGAAAGAATTATCAAAATCTATGGATAAGTTGCTGAATTTATTGACTACAAACAAACAAATCTTCCATTTATTATTGGTATAGACATTCCTTTTAGAATTGGTATATAAGTTGATATTAAAGTTCGGCTACAAATAAATTTTATGCAACATAAACAATTATTTATTCTGTTACACAAATTTTCTCTTATTCGCATACGCAATTTTATATTCGAAATCAGGTTAGCCCCTAGCAGCCTCTCATATAAGACGAAAGTCCGAGCTTGAATTCTCGACACTTGCAAATTCATCGCATCCCTAAAATGTTATAAATTGTATTATGCGTATATATATGTATGTAACTGGGCAAGTATATATAACACATACAGTGTTACTCACTATGTATGTATGTATATCTGTCACACTGTTTCTGTCCATATCCTTAATTATTATTATCTTGTTAACACAAAAACTTAATTTCTAGTGCACCTACTCAGTCATTTCCCCACCACCCAAAGGTAGACTATGGGAAAATGTCTGTGGCATTAACCATACCAAGAAGTGTTATTTGTGCAAAAATAATAATAATAAAAAAAAACAAAGAACTGGCCATGATATTATTTAACTATTTTATTGCATCAAACCACTAATTATCTATCTTTTAATATTTTTAAGAGATTTCCTTCCTACTCGTAGGTAAGTCGAGTTTTGTTTTGGCGAGACATCATCCTCTTCTCATTCTCAGACAAGGAGACGAGACTACTATATTTTAAATTAGATTGCTGCTATTGTCTTGAATCTCACCACTTATTCTTTTTTTAATTAAAATTAAGACAACTCCCGCATTAGGAATATATCCTGTGTCGCGGGGGACTTTACAAACATACATGAAAGGGACACAAAGAACACCCATATTCAGAACAAGAACTTGTGGATCACACAAAGTGTCGTGTCCCACAACCCTCGGCGTAGTAGTAAGCGGCGTGGCGACCGCTTAAACCACTTGTACAACTCATCATAGTAAGGTCACAATATTTTTGAAGAGATTTCCTTTGCCGTCTTTAGTGCAGGCATCGGTAGTGCGGTCTCACTCGCGGTGCCTACAAACTCGCGCGTAGGCGTAATGACGTGTCCCATTCATAATTCACCTGTTCAACATGCGAACGATTACCTTCGCACGATTATCGGTAAAACGCGAACGCTGACTAATCGAGGAGGCTCGCTAGGAATGCTGCACCGCCGAAGGAAATCCGCAACGGCGCCTTCGT